TCAGGGGGCAAATCATGGGTATGGTTACCGTAAACTCTAAAGACCAAGATCAGAAAGTTTCATTCGAGAAATGCAGCCCGGTACACAGGTCTCTCAAGGAAGGCAATGACGAGCGCAGAATATTGAATGAGAATAGGATTATAAATAAACCTAAGCTCGGGTACGGCTGTGGGTTGGGAGTAATTCCGGAGTCTACAGTTTATAAAATAATGGAGTAAGTCTCGAGTGGTTATTTTCGACATAGACTGGAAGGAAGAGAAAAGCTGGCTAATCTTAAAAAATACACGGGTAATAAGTTTGTTGGTGCTAATCTTTATTCGTTCCCGGTGCGGAGAAGATCATCTAGCAGAGTTACTTATGGTATTTTTGACTTCTTTCAAAAGATTTATTCAAAGTTCTAACCTTGCTTCATTAGGGAGGCCAGGTCGACTCCGTATTATATTTGATATGAGCAGCAGTGAAGTCTTGGGGATCATCAATGTTGTAGATGAGAATGAGAAATGTGTAACTTTATGGGATCTATCATCGACCTCATCTGAGGCCATCTACAGCCCGTCGTCTATCCTAGACCTCGACAGAGTCCAAGACAGTATTTGGCCCGAGACTTGCTTTGGACATGAGATCAAGACCAAGACAATGTGGCTTTATTTAGAGCTCGCCATGAAAAATTGGAAGTCGAAATATAATGGTCGAAAACTCAACTTTCCTATTGTAAACCAAAAAGCAATTTGGCTCTGGCCCATGAGAACTCCAGAAACCCACATCAAAAGTAAATCTTCGCGATATTATTATTGGGAAATCTGCTGATTCAAAATATCTAGCATTTACTAAGGTGTTCGCGATAGGCCAGGATACTAGATCTGGAACTTACAGTCTGTACCATGTCCAATTACGGGATGGTATATTAACTAACCTCGAAGCTTGTCTGGAATACTCTCCCGAAATCATTCGTCATTTAAAGGGAATCTTCGGTCCAGCCACTAAATCCTAGAGAAAAAAAAATTCGATGCGATTAAATAACTATTTATTCACACTTGCAAATGTGGCAAACCTTTTAAAAGTGGCAAATATTTTTGGGGATAACTTCTTAACCATAATTTAAAATTAGTAGCTACAGAGCCGTAATGGCTAAACATCACCTCCGGCTATGATGGTTAAAGCACGTCGACAACAAATTTAGAAAACCCTGTCATTCTCAAAATCTAGAATGACTTTACGAAATACGATTTTGAGGTCATAAATTTCATGCAGAGTAGAAGTTTCTTTTGTTTGGGCTTCATGTCAGCGGATTTAAGGTGATTTACTTTGTTCAATATGACAGTTGTTTTTGACTTTTGTTGGGTATCATAACCGACGGACTGTCAAGTGGAAAGTCAGAATTAACCGGAGGCTGACTCAGCTTTGGGTAGACAGACTAATGAGGATTGATGTAATGGGTTCCCAATATGGAGTCGGCATGGCCAAATTATTATCAAAACATGTAGCCGAGCCTGAAGACAAAGGATGGAGATAGATCAAAGGGAATTGGGAGTTTATACATAGAGATGAGATAGGGACTCAAGATAGTATATTGTATGCATGTTTATAAATGTGCTAGGCAATTAGCACCCCTCGCGCTCCTATTGTAGCTTGAGCACGAGTGGGGCCGGGCTGGATCAGGTTAACTGCCATGAAAGTACAATAAACCTCGTCTCACCTCAGACTTCACCTTTATCTTGAATCATACCAAGCCCGAATGTGCGGAAACCCTCTGTACGTACGCCGTAGCAGAAATTCCTTCTCAGCCTCTGCAGCCACGCGCCTGAGCCCTTGACATCGTTATTGACTTCGCAACATAAATGCTGTCCCGGATCTCCTTACCCTAGCCTTGCAACTTCACATTTAACCGTTAGTTTGTTGTCGTCATCAAGAATCTGTGTGATCTCTTCTATTTAGATTCTCCCTTTTCCTCCTTAGCATACATCCCGCTTCCATCATGACTTTCCTCTTTAGGGCGTGTATAGGTAGGTGATGTGACGGGTATGGAGGTGGATGGCATGTGTAGGATCGACCGAGAAATGCTTTTGGTCGAATATGTAAAGAGTTTGAGAGATTTTGGCTGTTTGAATACGACCCCCAGATAGACCCAAGTCCATTCGTGAATCGTATGCTGGTGCTGATGATATTTTGTTCGACTTTCCCGCGGTTGTGAAATCTCTGTCGACTGAGTTTCCGACTTCCGTAGCGAGTACAACTCCTTCAAGCCGACATTCCGTTGAGTATAACTCATCTCACCCTTGTTGTGACGTCTAGCAAGGTGATAGATTGCCTGTAACCTATGCTATCCAGCACAGGTCTATTTAGAGCGTCAGCGCTAAGTTAAGCTCATATTGAAAGTCTGGCGCCGCTTGTGCACGAAGCATTGTTGGTAACTGGCCCACACTTGAATCATGCGAGGCCGAATGGGGTACATCTACTAGTGTTCTGGATATTCGGATCATATATGTGAAATGGGCATGGGATATAGCAGAAGTTTTATGCTTCAGTTAATAAACTTGTCTTTTGATACACAAACGCCCATACTTTATATATTGGAACTGCGACGGGCTTTCTTAAATGCACCTTAAAGAGTTGTGCTTGAGAAATGACTTGAGGATGGCAAGACTGAACACCTGTACACCGTGTCCGCTACGAACCTGGAAGTGATATATTCTCCCAGAGCCGAGTTCAGTCAAATTTCGCAGTACTCAAGATGTTGGCCCATGAGGCAACAATTCAAATTACTTTACCATCTCAAATTTTCACTCCCAACGAGTTTGACTCCTACCTAAGGAGGGCAAGACTGAACACCTGTACGCGGTGTCCTCTACGAACCTGAGAGTGAAATATTCTCCCAGAGCCAAGTTCAGTCAAATTTCGCAATATCAAAGAAGTTGGCCCACGAGGCAAAAATTCGAATTACTCCACCATGTCAATCTTTCACCCCCAAAGAGTCCGATTCTCAACTAAGCTTCATCAAGTCTACATGTACGACATAGTACAGCCTCGTTTCAATGACCACACCTCTCGTCGACTTTCTCTAGCCTCAGCCGGTCACCAAATACATGCCCACGCCGATATTTATACCCGACGGAGGAAGCAAAGCGTGGAGCACAAATCTGAGAGATAGCTCTTTGGGATGGACGTGAGAGGGATCAGGACAAGTTTACAAGATGATGCAGAAAAGGGATACGTTTTCGACGGGCGTGAAATTTCGAATTTTGGCATCGAGTTTAACGGATTGAGCTTTGTGCGCGCCAAGGCTTCGCTTGCGAGAGTGCAGCTCACACTATAAAAACAAGCAGACGATGGAAGGCGTAGTGATCCGCAACCTGGTGGTGTTCTCTGGTATGGTTTGAGTAGCCTAGACACCTACTCCACTTGGGAAAGAGACACCTCAGATCACATATCGCGCGGAGAAAAGTTGAAAGATGATGAAGGCATGTCTGGATAACTCAGGGTTTTTGAGAGGTTCCCCTGGGTGGGTATTCACGGATGAGGGTTGACTTGGGGTGAAGAAAAAGCCACCATAACTTCGCAGTGGTAGTTGCAAATGAAATCCGAGGCATGAGTGCTCTTCCTTTACGTTGAATTATCTATTCTGTACTTTTCTTTGATATTGTGTCATAGCTGGATAGCTGCATACGCGATTAAATTCTGATTCAAAAAAAAACGTTATACCTTGATGGGTAAACTATGCTGATTGACTACCGGTATATTAAGGCCCCTGGGCTGGATGGTGCAGTGGTACACCATCCGGGCTATTCTCCCAAGTAGATACTGGGTAGCTTGAACACCTACCCCATTCGAGAGAGGAGAAAGCTGGTTCGAATCCAGTCAGACCCCCACACACCACTCTCTCTCGCGATGATATTACACTTGTGGGATGATGAAAGTACATTTGGATAGCCACAGGGTTTTCACGCTTTTCCCTGTGGTGGGTATGCACGGAAGAGGTTATACGCCGTAAGGGTGTATCTAGAGTCGTATCTGCAAATGATATCTGAGTGTAAGTGTTCTAAACGTCAAATTGAGTCATCCTACCTAAAGTACATATCTCCCGATATAAACCTGCACGGGCCTCAAGGCGCCAAATCAGGATAATGAACTATATATATATATATATACATTGAGGCCCCTGCTATCTAATATAACTTCAAAGGCAGTCCTGCTCGACTGGCCAGCCCTTGTGGATATTTTACAGGGGTATAATTATCTTGGGATTTGGAAATGTTTTCGGCATTAGGAAAGTCCGGCACCCAGTGGAGCTTATGATATTCCTAAGCTGCCACACACCCGCAAATAGCCATAGTTTTGTTCGCTCAAGAGGGGAGATGATGACGGGATAACTGCTACTCTAAATTTGGGCTCACAATGAAAACCTTTCGCGGTATAACCTCTGGGAAGAGGTCGTTATGGAGGCTATGATAATCCCGGCCTATTGGCAGGAGAAAGCTACATGCCCTGGTCTAGTCATCTACTCAACAAGATACTAAACATTAGAAGCCGCATAAATTTGGATTTAGTCTTGGTCTCCCAATCATTGATGTATACTCATCTCAATTTAGAATTACAACACTACAAATAGAAGATAAACATTGTAGGCTGTACCTCAAATTAAGCAATAAAAATAGGATTTGGTAAGGCTAAACCATATCCTTTCATGGACACACAAGTATTAAAATTCAGAGGAGCGATGATCTACTGAGTCAGAAAATGATTCATTCGCTGCAGATTGAGTGGATGTGCAAGGTCAATTATGGGCTGACTCAAATGCTTAATCTTTTTGACTTAAAAGTACAAATTGGCTGCTTGGCGGTCTCTATCTAACCGTTTATTTAATGTGAAATTTGATCTCAACTTTTGCAAAAGCGAGAAAGAGCTCAACCGCCACAAAGTCTTTAAACACATGCGCTCGTTGCTGCATATCTGAAAACTGCTCAACTCGAAATCTGGGGCTTCTATCTAGCTGTCTGGTGAAGATGCGGATGATTTTCGGCATATCCCTTGCAATAACTGGGCTAATTTATCCAATCAAATGTACAGATATCCCATACTCGGACTTTCATCTTCCGGATGGAACCAATGGCTTTGTGTGTAAAATGGATATTTTTACAATCGATCAAGTTCGGGAAGTAGCTAAAAATGCATTTGAATCATTTTATCTTGGATTATCGTACCGAAAATTCCCCAAATTATTCGAAGATACACATCTATTTCATGAACAAGCTGAAATTCTTCTCTCATGGCCTGTTGTGCTCAGTAGGAGTCTTTACATTAACGGTAAATCATGCTCTTAGGATATCTTCCCTATCTTCAATACTGCAACTGAATCAAAGACAAGGGAATCCAGGAAAAATTCGCCTCGTCATAAACATTTGGGGACAAATCATTGGTCTAGTAATGGTAGACTTCGACATCAAAAGCCAGGAAGCAAACCACGAGAAATGCAGCCCGGTACGCAACAGTGTTCAAGAGGATAATACCCAAAACAGCTTTTGGAATGAACTTTTGAGTATAGCTTCTCCCACGCTTGGATTCAGTTGTGGCTTGAATTTTTTTTCAGTGCCCACGGTTGATATGGTAATGAATATGATCCGAAATAATAAATCCCGAGTCAGGGGGGGTCAGAAAATGAACGAAAATTACCTTGTAAAATATACAGGGACTGATTTCAAGGGAGTTGACCTTTACTCTTACCCTGTGCGCAAGAGTGTACGTGACAATGCAACTTCTGGTATTTTTATTTCCCTCAATCGATTTATTCATAGCTCTAAAATCTTTTCGCTAGGTCTACCTGGTACATTCCGTATTGTCTTTGACGCGAACAATTATGAGTTCAAGGGGATCATCAATGTGCAAGACAGCGAAATTAAGTTTGGAACTGTATGGGATTTATCATCGACTAAACCCCATAAATTTTATAGCCCGTCCTCTGTCTTAAATCTTGGAAGTAATCCAGACAGTTATTGGCCCAGGACTTGCTTTGGACACAACTTCAAGTCTACGGCAATATGGCTTTATTTAGAGTTCGTCTTGAAAGAATGGCCGTCGCAAATGGATGGTTATAAACTCAATTTCCCTATTGTAAAGAAGCAAGTATTACGGCTCTGGCCCATCAGAATTCCAGAAACCCAAATTAGCGGTGAATATTCTTCATAAATCACTTGGAAAATAAACTAACTATACAAATCTAGATCTTAAACACGCATTTGCAATAGGCTATAACTCTACCCTTGATGCCTACGGCCTGTATCAGGCTAAAATAAATGACGGCAAATTAAGTAATTTCCAAAAGTGCATGGACTTCACTCAAGACGAGATGCAGCTTGTTCGGGGAGTTATTGACCCAAGCACTCAATCCTAGAGAAATCCCTTTTTTAGCACTTATGAAAACTTTTCATTCCTTCCATGAATATTTAGCCGTTTTATTTATTGCTACTTTTTAGTATTAAACAAATTTGAAGCTGAGCTTTCCATGCTAGGTAGAAAAGTGAGCAGTAAAATTTAACAATACATTTGCCCACATTACCTTCAAGCCCATCGACAGAAAGGATAAAGTATAGGGTTCTAAGAGATCATCACACCACTGAATGAGAGATGGTTCAAAAGTAGATCTCTTAGGCTTAGCAATTATATTCAACAATGGTTGATGCTCGTATTCGGTTCACCGGCAGTGTTAGAAACGTGCTTCATAGTTATTGTGACAAGTTTATAGGACATCCCACCGACCTCACGTTGACAGCTTTAACGGACCTCATAGGATCAATATGTGTTATGTGACAAAAATTGAGCTTTCTCATTCTATAGCTGGGTGCAATAAGTAGCTCTCCCGTTAGAAACAATTTCTTAACCTTTCAGAGTTGCAGGTGTAAACATTCAATATGTCCTATATGTCTGAGATAACAAAAAAGCATCGCATCAGGGTCGTAAAAGAAAACAAACACAAAAGTATCCATGATCAAGGATCTCTCGTCATTGTCGCTTCTATCGTTCTCATATGGTCCTCAAACTCCACCTGACCAAGTCTCAAGTCGCCCCAACCTCTGAGCAAGTAGTTACGCCGATTGCAAACTGGGGATTTCCTCATGAATCACCTGACATTACCCACTACAGATTAACTACGTTACGAGTGCCCGCGAAAAAAAATAAGTTGTAAGATGAAGAGCTTGTAGAGCACATGAACAGCGTCCGTGCATCAGCCTGTATTTTCCACCATTTCCTAATACAGCAGCCCATCCTCCATTACCCTGTCTCTTAACAACTCAACCGAGCCAGCACAACAGCTGTATTGAAGATCGTAAACTTAAGGAAGAAGATGAGGTGGGAATGTTCTCCCTGATATACATGATGGGCGGTTAATGCTTATGTTCAAACAGGACAGATCCCATGTTGCCTAAACAGCCCTAGCTCGTTCTTCCATGACCTAGCCTTAGGTGCCTTAGTCCCCAGCCTATGACGTTACCCTGTGTGTCCTGGTCATGTGATGTTACGTAATATTAATTAGAATTAGCATCATTAGGATTTTCGGTTGGAACAGGGGACAATCAATTTACATCTGACTAAACGACTTACCAGGCATTCTGTGATACTAATTACAGGCGTGCTTTGAGTCCATAGTCTATTGTAAGACAAAGACGCACAACCCCTCCTGTTCTCCTTTCCTTGTCATTATTTTAGTCTCATAAGCATCTAGTGCAACTGTCTCTTGAAAATCAACTTCAGGATGCCATGATGGTTTGGCATATCCTATCCATTTCACAAGTACCTCTTTCCTGCTTCCTCTCCCTATTTTCCTAATCCTCGAGTCTAGAATTTCTTCAATTCCAAATTCTATATCTCCAGAGGTAGTCAGAACTCCTGGTGGTTGTAAATCATCCATCTCCTGAGACGGGAGTGGATCTTTGCTAGCTGGTCTTAGAAGAGATGTATGGAATTTATTGTGAATGCCTTTAGGTGTATCTAGCTCATAAAAGTGTAGAGAATCTTCAAATTTCCTGGTGATAGTGTATTTGGCATGTATCCAGTCAAGCTTTTTAGATGGCCTCTCAGTAGTAATATTCTTTAGATTAAGCCAGACTTTATCCCCAGGTTGGTAACTTGGTGCAACATCCCTCGAGCTATTTGCATATTTTTCCTGGGACTGTTGTGTGATTGCCATTGAAGTTTGTGCAAATTAGTGAGCTTCTTGTAGCTTCTCAACAACTTGTTGTCCTCTGAAAGCTGGTGTTCCTAGTGATTGATTCTCTATTTGAGCTTTTGAAATCGAGCTAGCATCATATCCATGAACCATGAAGAATGGACTTATTTGTGTTGTTGTTGCTATTTTATTATTGATCGAGACCTGTGCCAGTGGAATCCACTATTTCCAAACTGTCTGTTCATAGGCAACAAATATCCTCAGATATGTCTCTACCTCTTGATTTGCTCTCTCAGTTGATCCATCAGTTTCTGGATGATAGGCTGTCAAAAGTCTTTCATTAATGTTGAATCTGAGGCATATAATTTTCCAAAAAGCATTGACAAACTGAGGACCTCTATCCGAAACAACTGCCTTTGGAATCCAGTGGTGTGGTAGATAGAATTCGAAAAAAAATTAGCCAGTCCTTCTTGTCACAGTTCAAATATAGAAAGCGAATGGGCATTTGTATGATTGAAAGGTAAAGCTATAATTCATCTATGTAGAAGCAAACTACCTGCAAGTCTACTCTACTACTTATACACATCCAGAGGTATCTAAATCTAGCCTACACTTACAGTGGCAATGAAACTGACTAAAGGTTTGTTCTGCCACACGGGTAACGCTTCCGATGCTCTTGGCACTATCCTTTACGTAGCCTCAGTGGCGATCTCGTATCAGTTTTCGTCTGCTGATTATCCTCGGAGTGATAGAGAATATAGGTTGCCTTCGATAGCCATCGAAGGCTACAGGACTTATCGGCTCACAAGCCGTCACACTTCTGCATCAAACTTGTCTGGTGGCACTGGTATGAGGATGTGCCCTTTGCCTAGCCTGTCTGTTATAATTAGGAGTGTGGTTATTTTTTCAGATCCATAGGGAGGAAGAATTACACACTAGCCTCGAGTTTGACTTGGAGGTACGATAACTGTGTTTTCTATACGAAAACTTTTACTGATATTTAATGGATAGTTAATTGTGATTAAATTGCTGTAATTCTATATGTGTGGCGAGAAGTCCCTCTATATACATGAAAGCGGGCTTTTCCGCACACTAGCGTGAACTCCAACATAATTCCTAATCTACCCTAAATGGGAAGGTTGTTGGAGATCCTGAAGCCCATGTACGCCGTCAGGCATCTATTGGCTAATTAATATTCATGCCAGTGAGTGATGATATGGGTTAATCATATCTCATGGCGCCAGTGCATATTATTCTAATATGTACTATTTGTCTAGTGCAGTCATGTTGCTGCCTTAATTACAATAGGAAGGCCAGTGATAAAATCCATAGATATTTCCTGCCATATTTGCGATGGTATGGGCAGTGAGTGGATTGAGCAGTGGCTTGAGCAGTTGCTTGAGCAAGCCTTTTTTCTTATCCCTCCAAATTGTTGTCCTACCACATATACCACAGTTTCACACAAATTGTCTTATCTCTTGGTTCGAACTGTTACAGGCTGTGCCCGGATTGGGACTGGTCACTAGGACCAACCCGGCTAGATCTTTAAGCGCCAACGAAGCAGCGCTTACAGAGACGCGAAAGGTTGTTTGGGGAAGAATACATGGATACGCACAAAGAGGGATCTAAGTGTCGCATAAGGATTAATGCAAGGTTGCGCACAAGAACGAGTCTCAGTGTTGCATAAGGATAATTGCAAGGTTGCGCATGAGGAAGGACCCAAGGGAGTACGTACTAAGGGGGGGAGGATGTCACAGGAAAGAGGGTAGCCGGGGAGAATGGAGTATTCTCAGGTAGGCTAGGAGGGGAGCTTAAACGCGACGCTGAGGAGGACATAAAGGACAGGAGCCGTCGTAGGCAGATTAGCTTCCTGAGGAAAAATTATCAATTCCTATTGAGTTAATGTCTTTCAAGTGCTTCTGAATTCTTTAAACCCTTTACACGAACCTGGCCAAGAGAAATTTCTAGACACTGGGAATATTGTTGCATCTCTCACTGGGTGACCTAAAAGGTATGAATCATGAATTTTCTGCATGACAGCTGTAGTTAGAGACTCAAAACTGGGCAACCAAACTCTCTCTCTCTCCATAATGTAATATGTTTTCGGCTAAAATTGAACACTCTCCAGTTACAATTTTAGGTTTCAGATCAGTGGCAAATTGTCTGTCTTGATCTCTGATGGCATTGAATGCCTTCAGATAATTTTCAATTATTTCTCCTGATTGTAAGGCCTCATTCCATAAATTTTCGAGGACAAGATCATCTAAAAATGGACTTCCCAGGTCTTTAATGTTTAATGAATTAGTCCAAAGCCTTGGTTCCAGTAGGGTATTCTCTCGAGTAGCAATCCTTGAATCTGAAACATCCTTAGGAATATCCTGTTCTCTTCTAGAAAGCGCATGTGTTATGAATCTACTTATTGGCAGATTTTGGAAGCTGTTAAGCTGCATAGGTCAAGTCGATTTTGATAAAGACAATTTATCAAAGTTACAAACGCGCGAATGTGCAAATGTGCTGTTGGAATAGGCTGAATCTGCTAGCAGATAGATAATGTTTGGTCACTTTGTTCTTGATTCTCTATCTAAGCTATCTACAGAGAGTTTTCCTGTGTAGTGCCAAGGCCCTAGTACGATCAATACCCGTGCGTGAAGGCCTGCACTTCGGACCAATCAGAGTAATCCAGACACTGGCAACTTTCTAATAGTTGGAAAAAATGATATTGATTTACCCTCTCTAAACGCCTCCCCCTTAACTCCTGAGATCAATGCTTTTCCTATACTTCCATGTTCTTGCAATCAACCCATCAGTTAACTTTGATACTCATCCCACCGGTAGTGATGAAGGTTTCGAGAGCTTGGTTTGGTATTGCCTTTATCATGGAGTCAGCAGGATTCCTATTACCATCTATCCATTGTACCTCTGCGAGCTCTCGACACTCATACATTTGTCGGTGTGACGGCTGTCAATACTAAGGGTTCCTGTAGCCTACGCAGTCTAGCGCAGGCAATTATACGAAGGGAGGTTCCTGGGAAGATCTTTGATGACAGGGAACCTAGATGATTCACATTTAGCCTTGTTGAAACCTAGTGAGAGTTCATGAAGGTTACAGAAGTATCAAGGATCTACAGGCGATTGTCGGAGAGTCTGAGTTGACAAGTCATAGAGAGAACCTTATCGAGGAGGGGTATTTCAGTCTGTATATATAGGTAGTCATTAAGTACAGAAAT